AGAGAAGACAGATGTTACCTCATACACTATAGAAGACTGTTAGAGAACACTGATGTTACCTCATACACTATAGAAGACTGTTAGAGAAGACAGATGTTACCTCATACACTATAGAAGACTGTTAGAGAACACAGATGTTACCTCATACACTATAGAAGACTGTTAGAGAAGACAGATGTTACCTCATACACTATAGAAGACTGTTAGAGAACACTGATGTTACCTCATACACTATAGAAGACTGTTAGAGAACACTGATGTTACCTCATACACTATAGAAGACTGTTAGAGAAGACAGATGTTACCTCATACACTATAGAAGACTGTTAGAGAACACTGATGTTACCTCATACACTATAGAAGACTGTTAGAGAAGACAGATGTTACCTCATACACTATAGAAGACTGTTAGAGAACACAGATGTTACCTCATACACTATAGAAGACTGTTAGAGAAGACAGATGTTACCTCATACACTATAGAAGACTGTTAGAGAAGACAGATGTTACCTCATACACTATAGAAGACTGTTAGAGAAGACAGATGTTACCTCATACACTATAGAAGACTGTTAGAGAAGACAGATGTTACCTCATACACTATAGAAGACTGTTAGAGAAGACAGATGTTACCTCATACACTATAGAAGACTGTTAGAGAAGACAGATGTTACCTCATACACTATAGAAGACTGTTAGAGAACACTGATGTTACCTCATACACTATAGAAGACTGTTAGAGAACACTGATGTTACCTCATACACTATAGAAGACTGTTAGAGAACACAGGTGTTACCTCATACACTATAGAAGACTGTTAGAGAACACTGATGTTACCTCATACACTATAGAAGACTGTTAGAGAAGACAGATGTTACCTCATACACTATAGAAGACTGTTAGAGAACACTGATGTTACCTCATACACTATAGAAGACTGTTAGAGAACACTGATGTTACCTCATACACTATAGAAGACTGTTAGAGAACACTGATGTTACCTCATACACTATAGAAGACTGTTAGAGAAGACAGATGTTACCTCATACACTATAGAAGACTGTTAGAGAACACAGATGTTACCTCATACACTATAGAAGACTGTTAGAGAACACAGATGTTACCTCATACACTATAGAAGACTGTTAGAGAACACTGTTGTTACCTCATACACTATAGAAGACTGTTAGAGAACACAGATGTTACCTCATACACTATAGAAGACTGTTAGAGAACACTGATGTTACCTCATACACTATAGAAGACTGTTAGAGAACACTGATGTTACCTCATACACTATAGAAGACTGTTAGAGAAGACAGATGTTACCTCATACACTATAGAAGACTGTTAGAGAACACAGATGTTACCTCATACACTATAGAAGACTGTTAGAGAACACAGATGTTACCTCATACACTATAGAAGACTGTTAGAGAACACAGATGTTACCTCATACACTATAGAAGACTGTTAGAGAACACAGATGTTACCTCATACACTATAGAAGACTGTTAGAGAACACTGATGTTACCTCATACACTATAGAAGACTGTTAGAGAAGACAGATGTTACCTCATACACTATAGAAGACTGTTAGAGAAGACAGATGTTACCTCATACACTATAGAAGACTGTTAGAGAAGACAGATGTTACCTCATACACTATAGAAGACTGTTAGAGAACACTGTTGTTACCTCATACACTATAGAAGACTGTTAGAGAACACAGATGTTACCTCATACACTATAGAAGACTGTTAGAGAACACTGATGTTACCTCATACACTATAGAAGACTGTTAGAGAACACTTATGTTACCTCATACACTATAGAAGACTGTTAGAGAAGACAGATGTTACCTCATACACTATAGAAGACTGTTAGAGAAGACAGATGTTACCTCATACACTATAGAAGACTGTTAGAGAAGACAGATGTTACCTCATACACTATAGAAGACTGTTAGAGAAGACAGATGTTACCTCATACACTATAGAAGACTGTTAGAGAAGACAGATGTTACCTCATACACTATAGAAGACTGTTAGAGAAGACAGAAGTTACCTCATACACTATAGAAGACTGTTAGAGAAGACAGATGTTACCTCATACACTATAGTAGACTGTTAGAGAAGACAGATGTTACCTCATACACTATAGAAGACTGTTAGAGAACACTGTTGTTACCTCATACACTATAGAAGACTGTTAGAGAACACAGATGTTACCTCATACACTATAGAAGACTGTTAGAGAAGACAGAAGTTACCTCATACACTATAGAAGACTGTTAGAGAAGACAGATGTTACCTCATACACTATAGAAGACTGTTAGAGAAGACAGATGTTACCTCATACACTATAGAAGACTGTTAGAGAAGACAGATGTTACCTCATACACTATAGAAGACTGTTAGAGAAGACAGATGTTACCTCATACACTATAGAAGACTGTTAGAGAACACTGATGTTACCTCATACACTATAGAAGACTGT